AAATACCTGTAAATGTGAAGGTTGTGTGTAACTCGCAAACTGTGCTCTGAAAATACCTCTTTAGAGCCTGAAAAGCTTTAACAGTATGGAGGGGTAGGCACCWTATTTTCCACTGACACCCTGAATTCAAGCCGTTTCTAACCTTGTACCTCTCCAGTACAAGGCCTATGTAGGGCTCCCACAACAGCTACTTGCTCCTCATGTTTTCTCTGACGTGCCTGCAAGCTMCCGAACCTTCAGTCTAGCCCTTTCATTTCTACATCTTCTGCCTCATTTGTTGCACAGGCTAAAGAATTTAATATATTATTTTCTCTTTAACARTAAGATTAATTTCTCTCCTGTTTTTCTTTCAGAGCCATCAGCAGCACACTCCTATGATCTGCCTACTCCTATGATCAGATGCTCAGAACAGAAGACTTTTTTTCCTATGAACTATGTAGGTATGAAGTATCAAAACCACTAATGTTTGATTTAGCAACAGCTTTCTAGGAAAAGCTGCCCAGGGTGGTTGTTATGGTTTATACTTTTAGCATTAGAAATGTACTTTATATATATGCTTTTATATATACTTTATACTTTTATTTTAGAAATATAGACATAACTTTAGAAGCAGCATTTCAGAGCTGTGGTGAGCTTCTTTAAGGCAAGCTTAAACTTTCTGATCACATTATGGATATATATGCAGCCTGGAACACCTCTTCTGCAATCTGATCACACTAGTGCKCCATAAACTTCGTAAATCAATGAAGAAAATGTTTAAGAACTCACTTTGTTTACACTTCAAAAATCCTTTTATACCTATGATGACCAGATGGTTGAAGAGTGCTCTCAGTATAGCATGTTAAAGCTGTCGTGTCATGTATTAGTACTTTATAAATGTTCAGATTTTACAACTGAGCATGAAATCAGTGTCAGTTTTGAAATTCAATAAACTGCACATGCTTGAAACTTCCAGCATTCTTCTTCAAAACAGGAATAGGGTTCTAAAAGCTGTTGTGTTAGATAACTGGAATGGTATAAACAAACTTTCTGCAAAGCTGATACAGATCTTTGGAAGTGCAAGTTTCATAATGGAGATATTACTTGACCAGAACCAGAAGTAGGATGTAGTTCATGGCTCCGCTTGTTTTAAACCATGAAACAGGTCTAGGGAAACAGAAAGTACCACATTGTTTGAATAAGGCACGTTAGGAAAAATGACATATCTTTAATTTAGATGAGGTTTGTCACCATTATATACAGAAAATMTCACTGGGACAAGAGTAATGGGTATTGGTCAACACCCGTTCTGAAACACAGTGTTTCAAATGATCAGCTTTGCATGTAGTGCAGTATGGAGAAGCAGAGGCTCTTGTTACAAAAATACCTGTGCAAAAAAGCTAAGATGGAGGAGCCAGTGCAAATTCTGTGAAAAGAGAAAGGCTTATGGGGAAAGTGAAGCTCCATGGCTTTGAGTAACCATGGAGATGAAGGCTTTTCTGATGCAGGAGTGAGTAACCTTTTCATATTTATTAGTGAGAATGATGCTGAAAGATAAAGGCAAATTAAAATATGAAGCATAAAACACAGACTTAGCCACTCTCTGCCCTGCCAGTGCAGTTTATTGTAATGGATTATTGGAAATGAGCAGGTATTAGAGAAGCAAATCAATTATGAAAGGGACAAAATACTCTAATTATACCAACCTGTTTACTAAAGTATCGGGTTCTTTATTAACAAAAATGAAAAGGCAGTATGCACACACTACTAAAATGTTTTGTTTTGTCTGATTAAAATAGAAAGATTAGCTTAAGCTTTGCCATAGCAGTGCTTTAAATATTCATACTAGAAAATAGTAAATTGTTTACTGTAACCATGTTAGCGGATATTTAAAGTCTACTATATTTTCTGGTGCTAAGAATGGTTGAAAGTTGCTATAAAAAGWACTGTGTGGATAGTCAGGTATCTGTTTTGCCTTGGAAATACAAGTCAAAGACTAACCTTTTAATTGGCGAGTTCTTGCTACAAAAATGCTACAGCTGAACAGAGATGGCAGCATTAAATGTTGCTTGAACTTTCTATATGATTAAGAGCTTATGAAATAAAACTGGAATACAGATATTTCTAAAACATCTTGTAGAAGTTTTGATTGATGAGAAATCCTGGGTTCAATTGGGGATTAACTCACAGTGCCCACAGGMAAACGCTGAGATCAAGAGGGGCAGTAGTAGACGATGTGGCTGTTAGAAAATGAGGAGTTCAGCAAAAACTGTCTCTCCCTGCTGGAAAGTAATTGTTTGGTTTGGATGAGAGCTCCCGGGCTGGACCTGCGCTTCAGGGAGCGAGGGGAGGGAGGGCAAGACAGGGAAGTTTACTGAAAAAAAAAAAGGTCAGCTCAATAAAAGCAGCTTAAAAAATATAGTTACCCCTGCAAAGATCGATTAAAAACAGGAGTACAAAAGCCACAAAAAAACTCACAAATGTTCCTGAAGTCCAAGCCATCCCTGCCAAGATCAGCTATTTTGGTTCAAAATTCAAGGTATATTTATTATAGCTCTTTTTGTTACTCAAAGCTGACCTGTATCTAAAATGAGTGTATATGCTAGTGATGTCTTCTTTCTCACCTGTTAAACCTTTAGATTCGAGGCAGCGTTGTTTCACATGGAAACACGGGCTTTGCTTCAATTCAGGTAAATGGAAACAAATTCCTTAGAGTCTGAAGTTAATCTTTGTGTTCTGTTGTGCTGGACAAACGTGGCGGCTCGAGCCGTGGCCTGGGGCTCCTGCTGCACAAAGCAGCAGCAGTTATTTCTGAGCCGGGGCCGGCTGCGTGCGAGCAGGGCTGTGCCACTGCTGCAGAACGCAGGGATCTGTGTGCAGGGGCACCTCCAGCCCGAGCCGCCCRCTCTAACGGTGTGGCAAAATGGCCCAAACTGCAGTTAAAGTTTCCCCAGTTTTATGAGGCTGTTCTACTTCTCTTTGAGACTTCCTCAAAAAAAAAAAAAAGTGTGGTTAGCCTCAAATCTAGCAAGGAATTCTTGTCCTGTCAAGAATTCAGATATTAGAGCAACATCTCTCAAATACTATAAACTTTATGGTAATGTTTAATCCTCGCTTTCCCTGCCCTGTCCCCAGTTCTTACTTATATTCCTGTTAAGCAGGGCCATTTTTTTCTGTAAGATTTATAAATTAATCATTACATAAATGGCATTTTCTGTCATAGACTTTTTTTTCTGGTAAATAAAGCATTTCTAAGCAGTTCATAGTTTATAGCCTTACTAAAAATGGAAATTTGAGAATACCTAAATTCAGTTTATGGTCCCACAGTATTGAAGGAACTTTGCCAGGTACTGAGGTAAATATGATGCAGACCTGCAGAGAATGGCAGCAGTTGTTGTACTGCCATTAGAAAGAGCCACTTTAGCCAGCAAGGAGGACAAAACTGCAAAACTGAAGTCTGGGGAAAAGGTTAAAAATGTGTATATACACATAAATAAATATTTTTTTGAGATGCTAAGTGAAATGATGCAAAACAGGAATTTAAGTGTAGTGCAGATTCAGACAGYAAGCAACAGTGGAACAGAGCAGCCCCAAAGAAAAGAATATAACCAAGTTCTCTTAGCAACACTTGCCCTTTTCTAGGGCTTCCAGGAACTGGGTTTTGGTGTGAAAAAGTTCTGCCCAATTGACATCTATAAATGGTAGCTAATAAACTCTCTCAATTGATTTGAAGTTATTTTCAGTGAAGTAGTTTTAAATGCGTACTAACAAAATGAGAGTTGAGGCCCAAGTTTTGTTGCAGCAGAGAAGCACGAGGAAGTCTTGCCGATGGAAGTATCAAAAGCATCTTTTGTGTGTTGTTAAACGCTCGTCTTCTAACACTTACTTCAAAAATGAGAGCCAGTCCAACATCTACTCACCTCTCCTCTTGCTTAAAAAAAAGGAGAACTAAAGTACCCATTCCCCTGTGAAGGGGAAAAGGAAGACAGAAGACAAATCTAAGCCATCTGATAAAGGTAACTGCTTTCTGATATTACTTCTCACAAATGGTTCACAAATCAATGGTTAATTCAACAAAATACAGGAGTGTTCTTTCCAAAGAGTGCCAGCAGCACCAGTTACTGCACAACGGGATGGCATAGAGGCATTTGGGGCTTTGGCTTCTATTGCAGATTTTTCACTCTACTAGTGGGAAGTTTACTTTACACCTCCCCAAGACTGACTAGAAATCAGCTGCAAACCATCACAACTACTTCCTCCAACATGACAATAAGTTCCACAGAGCAGTTTTTGAAATTTTACAAGCTCTGAATTAGGTACGTGGGTATCTTACTAAATCAAAGCTGTTGCTATAATTAAGAATAGTTTTGTTCTCATCACCTTTAGATTCCTTTAAGTAGAACATTATCTCAATGAGGTTTTGCTTATGTAACTGCCTATTGCACTTGCTCCAGGGCAGGAATGGTTTGACCAAACGTATTGCAAATTCCCTACCTGTGCTTTCAAATTACTTTTCTTCAAAGCAAAGCCAAAGAAACAAAAATCCATAGCTCTGTCTCTGAGGTGTGTTCTTTCATGTTTAAAGAGCCAAGTATTCAAAAATCCTCACCCTTATTTACCCTTAACACTTAAATGCTTCTGAGGGACATACACATCTTGGCAATTTAATCTTTAGTSATCTTCATTGATAAACTGGCTTTCYGTGTCTCCAGGCTCCAGAAGTAGCAGATCAGGGTCACTCTAGTTTATAAGCTAGTGTTCTCCAACACTAAGCTCASCCTAAGTTAGTTCTGTAGGATTTCTCCTGTCTTTCAATRTAGTAGGTAGATCCTACGTGTGCACAGCCCAGGAGCCAGGCGGATTGTTTCCTAGGAATGGTTGAGCAAAGCAGGATTTAACAGACAAGAACGTGGTACTTGCATGTAATAAAGCAAATGTTTACATTAAGCACAATACAGCAATTTATTTAGATGCTTAAATGAAGAATACAAAGGGAAATAAAGATCACAAAATTATACATACTACAACAGTGTGTCATATATTAGATGGTATAAATGAATAAACACCTTGTTGGTGTTAACTAAAGATAAAACTAAATATCCAAAACACAGCACTTTTGTTTCAGTGTGCTGCTTCAACACAATACACTTTTATACAGATCTAAAAGGTGTCAAAATTAGTAGCTGCAAACTTTGTTTCTTGCATGTGATTTTTCTTTTTAGCTTAAAAGATTTCAGAAAATGGCTCTGAAATACATTTGTCATCCATTGTAATGTCAAGGATATTCAGAACAAGAAAATTCTATAATACAATAGAGTCCAGATATATTTTTTATGTTGCTGGCCTCTGTTTTGAGATTGTACAAGGTTATGTGCAAAAACTAAGTTTGTCAAAATTCAGACTATAGCAGTTTCAAGCTTTTGCTAGGTAAACTAGATACAGCATTTATTACACAGCAGGGCAACACTAAAAAAGAGAAACAAATCTATGATGGATACACAAGAACAATTTCATAAGCTTCACTTGAATAGGTCTAAAAGACTGTACAAATATACATTTCAACTATTCAGAATGATACATGAAAAAAATCAATTTCCCCATAGTCTACTATACACGTTGAACTGGTAGCTCGTATGTTGGCCCTATACTACCATGTGAAAAAGGATAATGTTTAAAAAGACATACAACTGAACATGTACAAGAGTGAAATAAATGTTGAAAATGCAGATAAAATAAACCTCTGCTTCTCCTTGTGTGCATTCTAGAGCCACCAGCTTGTCTGTGTTCACATTAAGTTACTGTGCTCCTCCCGGCAGATATTCTCCAGCGAGATTAGCCAAGAGCCTCCTGCAGTGACCCCGGGAGTAGCAGCGGCCACAAGCGCGGCCCGGCCCGCAGAGGCAGGAGCGCTCAGGATGGGATGGAAGCTCCACAGTCAGTCCCAGTGCCAGGCAGGTGGCGGGTGGGTGGGCATGGGCGCAGGTGGGTGCGGGCAGCGGGCACCGCTCACGCCTGCTGGCTGCTCAGCTCCACCCCAGCGAGGCTGCCGTGCATGGGCTCTGCCACCGCACCCGCCACGCCGTCAAACTGCTCTCCGTCTTCGCTGTCAATTGTGCTGTTCTGCCACTCCATCTGCTGATTCGACAAGCTCTCCTCCATCTCCGATGCATTTTTCCATTGCGACTGGTCCTTGGACCAAAACTCTTCTACTTTTCCATAGGAACGATTCTTCCACTTTGACTGCTCTTCATCACTTTCAGATCCACCCCCTTTTGCTTCTACAGGCTGTTTACTGCTGCCAGCATCTTCGCTCTGGGAGGATTCATCTGTCCACACTTCTGGCTTTACTTCTGATGTATTATCTTCATAATCAGAAACCTGCTGAGAACCAGGCCCACTTTCAGATTGTGAAGCTCCATCTTTCCATTCAACAGCATCATCTTGATCATCCTGATCACCTTCACTGTCGGAAACATCACCTATCAGTTTTGCTGGTTCTTCAGCAGAAATAATCTCTTCATATTTAGAGCCTTCCTCTGGTTTTTGATCACTCTTCTCTGGGGACTGTAAAGTATTTTCCTCCCCAGTCTCCTTGGATATGCTGTCTTCTGGATTCTCTACTAGGCCATCAGAAGAGGTTTTCCCACCACTCTCAGAAATTTGTTGACCAAATGGACTACTGCTTTCATTGTATTCCTCTTCTATGTTCTCATAGCTGTCCGAGGAACTTTCATTATCTTTCTCTATGTTTATTTTTTTATCAACAGTCTTACTAACATTGACTCTGGCATTCTTTTCATCATGGTTTTCAAACAGCCATTCGGCATCAAAATCCATCTCATGTTTAACTTTGTTTAATTCTTTCATGTTGAAACCGAGCAGCACACCAGGCTTATATTTTTCACAATCTCTAACACATTTCTTCCGTTTGTTGCTAAAATGAGAAGCAATRTCAGATTTCCATAGCCACAAACTGGCAGCCAGCTTTTCAATTTCTCTCCTACTGGGATATGGTTGCTTATTAAAATATTTTGTAAGAAATGTTTTCCTGGCTTCATAGGAATCGTCTTCGTGACCCTTGGGGTCCAAAGCTAAAACTACCGGCTCTTCCGGCCTCTCCTCGAAGGCAGAGGGGGAGTCGTCGTCATCCATTTTCCTTCTCTTCATCAGCGAGAATTCCATGTGTTCGTAGGAACGTTTCAGAGGGGCTAGAGCTGGCGACTGGTTGAGCCGAGATGAGGAGTTACCTTTTTCTTGGCCGTTCTGAGTCTTGCCGACGCCTCTGCAGTGGACGAGGTGCAGCGTGATGGTTGAGGCAGTCATGTTACTCGTATATACACCAAGGCAATGGATGCATTTGTAAGTCAGCTTTTTCTCAACTGGGTGAACAGTTTGAATAACTTGATGCCGCTCCCTTAAATGATGTGCAAGGGCATCAGAGATGGGTCCTTTTAGGATTGAAAAGCACAGAGGACAGAGAGTTTTACCCACATCTTTTTTGTAGGGAACTGCTGCTTGCGGAGAACTTTTTACAGGTACATCAGACTTCTCYTGGACTTTTGGCTGCGGTTTTGGAGGAACTGGGGGAGTATTCTGAGCGTGATAAGCTACAGATTCAGCAGGAGCATCTCTCAGGTTGTAGGTGGTCACAAGGAGATGGATATTTGTGTGGCTCCCCTGCTGCAACGTCAAATCGAAGGTCAGCGTGGAATCAGTTTTAGGTCCCATTTCTTCATCGACGTGAACCATTCGCATGTGAGCAGCCATCTTTTCAACATCGTTGAAGGTTGAACGGCAGTACGGACAAGACAGACCATGTATTAACATATGATTAAGCAACGTGTCAGTAGGTAAATAGCGATTACAGTATAGACATTTGCTAGTAAAATTGTGTATTTTCATTATATAATTAGCTACTGCAGGCACCTTTTCAGCCTTGTGCTCCTTTTCGAAGTGGACACTATACACATTTTCAGGAAAGAGCTCATTACAGATCGTACAGATTTTCCACTTCTGTGTGGAGGATGTATTGACAGTAGAAGGACCTGTAGCAGCTACAGGAGATTTTGAGCCAGACTGACCTAATACTCTTGAAGCTGCCTGTGACTGAGATAACGATGTTTGCTTCAACTGAGCAGGTGAGAGAGAAGATGAATTGCCAGACTGCAGAGAGTATCTTGCTGAGGCCTGTGATCTCTGTTCTCCTCCAAGGGTATAAGGCCTTCCRTTTCCACTCGAAAACTGTTTCATAGTTTGGGACTGCTGGGGAATGGAAACGGGCGCGTTCCCGCTCAAGTTCAGCCTTCCCCCTGGCTGACCAACGTAACTCGGTGGCACCGATTTGACTCCATAATTATTTTGTTGCAGGTGAACGTTTGACATCATATTCACTCCAGAGTTTAACGTAGGCTTTGGTATAGTGAGTCTGTTCATCATCTGCTGTGACGAAAGCGACCGAACACTTCCAGGGGAAAGGGCACCCATCCTCTGCGGGAGTCCCATAGGCTTTTTATCCTGTGGTTTTGGAGCTATTAGCATCAAAGGTTTAGATCTTGGAACCACTACATTAGTGTGACCTATCATTGCTGTTACCTGATATCCTATACGTTCGTGGTCTTCGATAACGTGCTGCACTAAAGCTTCGTATGATTTCGGCATGAAAAGGCATCGCTTGCAGTGGATACTACCCTCCTCGCGGGCGCTGGAGCTTAACGGAACTGCACCATTGAGCGACTTCTCACCTCCCTTTGCTACATAAGGAGCAGCAACATGCTGAAAGTGTTCCCTGTAAATGTGCTTCCTAACTATTTCATACAGAGGATCTCGGTAAGTGCACTTCTTACAGTAATAAACAGCTTGTTCTACACTGTCAGCCTGCTTAGGTTTAAGGCTATCATGTTTGTTTTTATCTTTAAAAGTGCTGATGCCTCCACTCACTGTATTGGCATTTGGAGCATGAAATATTTTAATGTGCGTTTCCAAAGTCTTTTTGTCCGCATTGAAAGTACAGTAAGGACAGTTAAGAAGGATCCTATTTTCAAAGTCTTCRCTATGAACATTCCGGAAGTGGCTTTTGTAGGCGGAAAAGAACTTCGAGGAAAATGGACATGCACTGCAGCAAAAGGGCTTTGTCCGATAGTCCTTAAAACAAAGAACAAAGCAAAAACTAAGTAACCAAGAGCAGTTTGCAGGAAAAAAATCCATGAGCTTCTCCAAACAATAACATTTCTTAATCTTAAAACCCACTGCAACAATCTCAAACTTTTTATTAACTTCTCTGCAACTTTTGGCTTTAGAAGTTGTAACTGTCTGAACAAGGACACAAAACCACACGTGCCAATTTAGAGCTGCCTCAGAGCTTACACACAGACCCAGCAGCAGGGTCACACCAGAAGCCTCTTGCTCCACACCACTCAGCAGAAGCTGCCTTCCCTGGTGGGCTGAACAAGTCCACCAAGTCTCATCCTTGGGGAAAGGACAAGCATGACTGCTGGAGGATAACATTATAAAAGCCATGATTACTTCCCATCAAAACCTGCCAAACATCTATAAGTACAAGATAGGTATCTGACCTGACAGCTATTTCAGCGTCTTAATCTATTATAAGCTTCTAAGATAAAAGATGCTCTTCAAAACTTACTTTATATTGGTGTACAAGTGGAGTTAAGCTTACCAAAGTTATGCACTAGGTCCACACAAGCCCTTAAAGCAACCAAGCCTTTTCCTTCAAAGCACAATCCCCCCCCCCCCTTTTTTTTGTTTTTCAATCTTGGATCAGAAGAAGACATATTTGAAAATTTACCACTTGTATACTTTCCCTGCTCCCTCCATCTCTGGCAGTTTTAAGATGTTGCTGATACAATCTTGTTAACTTTTAACAGAAACTGGAATTATTGTGCATAGGCTTTGGAGATAGCCACAAGCAATGTGACATTTCCCATGAGATAAAACATGAAATTTAAAGAGTTATGGACTTTTCATCATGTGTATCAAACMAGTCTTGTGCATCAAGTTAGACATGGATCGGATAAGGTAGCCAGAGATTGCCCTGTGAGTAGGTGCATATGCTCTGGCAACTGGCTGAAGCCTCAGACACCTGGCAGGCTGCAGAGAAGAGCCCACAGAACAAGCTTAGTCTCCTTTTATATTACAATTACAAGCTGTCCCCTTTTATATGACACGTTTTATTCTGGAATGAACTAGGGAAAAAAATCAGTGCAGTTTATGGAACATACTAATAAAGGAACTTTTTAGATACCACGCTAGCAATCCATGGTTGCTTCCCACTTCCTATAGCAAGCAATACCTGATCTTTCAGATGCTGAAAAGGGCCTCATTTTATCATTCCCTCCTTACATTTCTAGCTTAATTCAGATTTCTTGAGCTTCATAACTAGCTCCATCATCTTCAACAAAACTCCCAGTGTCACTTCATTCTACTGTACGTAGCTTCATATGCCAAAACTGAGTAATCCCAGGCACAGAATCCTGTGGTGTGACAGACTAACAGAACTACAGCAACAGTGGAGAAAGAGCTAGATACATTTTTAACA